AGCAGGCGGTAGGAGAGCCAGGCGTTCTGGCCAGAGTCTCTGTCCACCGCCACCACCTTGGTGACCAGGTAGCCAGGCTCCGCAGAACGAGGGGCCAGTTCCACGCCTGTTGAGCCATCAGTGGGGAGGGTTGGGTACAGGATCTCCGGTGCATTGTCATTCTGGTCCAGCACGAATATACTCAGTGACACATTGCTGCTGAGTGGTGGGTCCCCACTGTCAGTGGCAATCACCTGAATCTGTAAATCACGAAACTGTTCATAGTCAAAGGATCGAAGTGCATACAGGACTCCTGTGTCAGAGTTTATGGAGATGTAGGAGGATAGAGGTGCTTCCTGGAAAGTGTCTTCAGCTAAGGAGTAAATAATCTGAGCATTCTCTTTGCTGTCTGGGTCTAGTGCAGTCACAGAGAAGATGGAGGCACCTCTAGGATTGTTCTCCAGGATATAGGTGAAGTAGGAGATGTGGGAAAAGGTGGGTGGGTTATCATTAATATCTGCCACTTGCAGGGTGAAGTGAGTTTCCGTTAACAGGGGTGGATTTCCTCCATCTGTGGCCGTCACTGTAATATTGTAAGAGGATACCTGTTCCCTGTCAAGGGTTCTGTGTGTCACCAGTCTATAATAACCATCGATGGATTTTTCTAACTTAAATGGTAGATTCTCTGATATGGAACAGGTGACCTGTCCATTCTGCCCAGAGTCTGGATCATGGACGTTTAAAAGGGCTATAACAGTTCCCAGAGGTGAGTCTTCCATCAGGGGACTAAACAGAGATGTTATGGTCACCTCTGGACTGTTGTCATTTACATCTTCTACTGTAATCAATACTTTTGCCATTGCAAGATATGCTCCTCCATCTTCTGCTTGTATTTCTAATTCATAGAAATCTGTTTCTTCATAATCTAGATTTTCTGATAATTTTATTTCCCCAGTATTTTTGTTTAGTTGGAATTTCAACAATTGCGTGTCAGGTGATTTTCGGAACGAATATGTTACTTCTCCATTGGCTCCTTCATCCTTGTCTGTGGCAGTGACTGTCAGCAGCTGTGTGCCCACAGGCAAGTTCTCCAGAACACTCACTCGGTATTCTGGCAATGTGAAGACTGGTGCATTGTCATTTGCATCGAAGACAGTCACACTGATGAGAACCGTACCAGATAGGAGGGGGTTGCCCCCATCCCAGGCAGTGAGGACAAGGTGGTGCACTGCCTCTTCCTCCCTATCCAGGGCATGCTCCAGCACCAGCTCCGGGTATTTGACTCCATTGCCATGACTCTGAACCGCTAAGGAGAAGTGCTTGTTGGAGCTAAGCTGGTAGCTTTGGAGGGAGTTCACACCCACATCCGGATCAACCGCCTCCAGGAGAGGAAATCGCATTCCTGGAGCGACATTTTCATTAATTTTTACGTCTACATTTTCTGCTTGGAATTTTGGGGCATTATCGTTGATATCAGTTACTTCTATTTCTACCCCAAAAAGTTTCACCCTATCTTCTACAAGAATGTTAAAATTCACCAGACACCGCGCGCTCTGAGCGCAGAGCTCCTCCCGGTCTATTCTGCCCGCAGTGACCAAACTGCCGCTTCGCGGGTTCAGAGCGAAAAGCTGCGACCTACCTCTTGAGACGATGCGGACTCCGCGCTCCGCCAGCTCCCAGGGCTCAAGCCCCAGGTCCTTGGAAATGTTGCCTACGAAGGAGCCTTTCTCCAGCTCCTCAGGAACGGAGTAGCGGATCTGCCGGGCTTCAGCCACCCACGATAGACCGAGAAAAAGACCAAGCAGAACGAGCGCTGTGCGGTTGGAGCGGTTCCTTTTAGCAGCCATTGTTGTCTAATCAAGGAATTCTCGCCAAGTACTCACTGCGCACGTTGTGTGTTTGGGCCGATTCCTTTTTATTCCTCTGGCTTCAGGGACCTCTGTAGCCTAGGCACCTTAAATTCTGGAATGAGTTTTGCTGCAGCTCTGCAGCCAGTTGGTAGGAACTGAGGAGCTTTGTATGGCCAGAGCCCTGAGAATCCGTATTGAGCGCGGGCTGCGTTTCTCTCCCAGTAGGCGAACAGCGGCGCTCAGAGTCCTCAGAAGTTACTGCACCCGCTATGTATGCAGTGAACAACAAACGATACTCTTTGTTGGATATTTTATTTTATTTTACCATACTTCTTTGGTTTTTCAAGTGATATTCCTTAAGCCAACTACTATTTGTAGGTTTCTTGCTGAGTAGGATAAATGGCATGAAAGTACTATAAAATATTAAATGAAAATAACTGGTCAAATATACACTTTTAACACTTATTTTCTCAGCAGGAACGTACCCACTTTAAAAGTTTAAGTAATACCTCTTCTATTTCATATAAGCTTCTAACTAAATTCACAAAAGTCTTACTATCTTATTTGAAATTTTGAAATGGTCCCATTATGTTTAATAGGCATTCATTTAGAGACTATATGAGATACATCCCTTATAACTCACTTATAATTTTTATTTTAGCTTTAACTAATCAACTAATTAAATTCATTTAGCAATAATATTGTGGAAAAGGTTTTCAAAATATTCTTCTAAAATATTCTTTCTAAAATAGTTTTATTGAGACTTCGTGAATTTTTCTGAAAAACGTCTATTGTAGGCATATATAATTAGAAGTCAATTTGACCTATTTAGCCGGAGCGACTCCATCTTGGTTAAATAGCCATTTTGTTGTTTGTGCAGTAAAACTTAAACTGACCCTAACCTCCCTCCCCTCCCCGCCAAGAAACTTACTTAGAAGCAAGTCTGGAAAACCAGTAAAATATGGTCGGCAAGTTCCTAATAACAGAGCCCAGAATAAAAGGCCAGGTCAGCCAGTTCCTGATAACAGAACCCAGAATACAAGGATGAGTCAGGCCAGGTGGAGACATCCAATCAGTAAAAAGCACATATACTATCTCCCTAACCACCAAAGAATGTAAACTCTGCCTTTTGGGCACCAAACTTGAGCACCAATTCTGACCAGAGTAATAGGTTAGTTCAAACAGCTACTGTAGGGTAAATTGTAATTCAATTGGCCACCTGCATGTGGACTAACATGACTGTACAATATTACAATCTCATTGGCCACCTATGTGTGGCCAGGCTTTTGCTCTATAAAAGTTAGTCTGTGAGACTGGGAGGGGTCGCTCTCTTCTGAGGTGGCCCTGACAGGTCAGTCTGACTTCTAATGCTTAGCATAGAATGAAGCTTTGCATAACTTTAACTTTGTTTCAGTCTCATTCCCCTGGCCGATCAATCTGACTTCTAATACTTGGCATAGAATAAAGCTTTACATAACTTTCACTCTGTCTCAGGCTCGTTCCTTTGATAACGGACACCAACAGAGCAAGTAACCACAAACTAAAAAAAAACATAACATGCCTGTGTTGTAATGCAAAGAAAAATATCTCTAAGAATTTCAAGATACAATTACAAAGTTGGAATTGTGATGCATGTTTTTTTAAAAAATATTTATTCAAATGACCTGTTTTCACCAGAGCATTGATGCCAAGAGATAAAAATCTCTTCTTTCAGCATTTTGTATGGAAGCCCAAAGTAAAGTGGTTCACACATCTTCAATGGTATGTGCCTATCAACCCAGCAGCAGTTCTCTCCTCAATGGTGAGGAGATGAGAGATTCACATCTTCCTTTTTTAAAGATTGTATTTACTTATTTGAAAGAGAGTGAATGAGCAAGCAAGCAAAAACATGAGCAGGGGGAGGAGCAGAGGAAGAGGGAGACTAGCAGACTGCCCAATGAGAAGGGAACCTGACTCCCTGCTCAATCCCAGGATACTGGGATCATGACCTGAGCTGAAGGCAGATGCTTAACCGACTGAGCCACCCAGGTGCCTGCAGACTTACATCTTTTATTCAGAGAACACATTCAGAACTGTTTATGTCACTACTCTTCAAAGATTTTATATTTTGTCTTCGAAGGTTTTATATCAATCAGAGATAGAGACTGAGTACAAAAGGCAATGACATTTCACTTGCTTTCTTGGAAATTTGTTATCTTGCAATGTAGAAGAAAAAAAATTAGGAAAGAGTGCAATTTAAACTCCAAGAAAAGATAAATATAAGAAAACAACCAGAAAAACCAAAAGTAGAAGAGAAAATTTTTTCTAAGGTAGTTAGTATTAAGTTCTGGGGACTGTAGAAACCCTGGCAATGGAAAACAAGTTCTGACTCATTATCCAAGGAAAATACATATATCTATAACTTCCATAGAATTTCAGAGGCTTGTGGATCTGCTCACCAGATCCACTCAAATGTTTAGTTTTTTAAACTATTAAAATAAATGGAAAAAGATACCTAAGTGTACCCCGGATATTATTTGCAATAAATGTTTCATTGAAACAAGCACTTACTTTGATACTTAATGCATAGCTTAATATTATTAAACTCAAAACATATAAGGATATGGAAAATTCATCCTAAATCTTATCAGATTTGAATAATTACCTATTAATTTATTTAGCAAGAAAACACTGCCTGTTTTGCTAATCTGAACTTGACTAGATTTCTCCAATTTAGTGACATTATTTCTGAATTATAGAGCAACTTATGAATCAACTAAATCTTGAAAAATATAATCAGCAAAAAGTAAACACTGAGAAGACAAAAAGGTAATTAGTTACGGATTTTCTAAATATGATTCTATATATAAAAATGCAATAGTATGCCTGAGAGAGAAACTAGTAGAACACTTCAGAAGATACAAAGGTGGAACTCACCGGTGTGAGAGTCTCAGGATGTGCAGTCAAATCATGCCCACCCTGAAGTGGAATTAAGGCCCCAGATGAATCGCCGCAAAGTAGTATATCTTGTCCTGAACTCAACTGCTCATTGCACTTTAGAAAATTAAACTCTGT